AATTAAGAGCCTCCGCTGACGGAGAAAGTATTGAGGTTTTGTTACAGAAGAAAGACGAGGAAGGAGAGAAGACCGGGGAGCTTGATACCGCGACGGAACACGACATGATTTTTTGAATCTGTTAATTTTTTCAGACAGCAGGGTCGGATTCGCGCAACCAAGACCAACAAGGCTGGGTTCGTGCGACCAGGACCAGCAAGCGAGAACAGCAAGGAGATCGGATTTCAGCAAGCGAGAAACATTAGATTGGATGAAATGATCGAGACGGACGGGATCCGATCGGATCGGAGTAGATTTCATGTTCGTGTTTTGCGAAGGAGGTAATTAGCGGCAGCTGGGAGATTTCGGAGGGTTTGGAGGAATTTCTGCGCAGAAGTTTTGAAGTGAGATGCAGCACAGAAAGCAGTGCTCGAAGAACCCAGCTACCCAACTCGTTGGAACCCAGTCGATCTGGGTAGAAAAGAAAGAAAGAGAAAGAAAGAAGGGGAAGAAGAGGGATTGGGAGTTGAGGGTAATAATGTAATATTATTTTTTAATTAAAATATAAATGTTTATGTACGTGATATTTTTATTTATCTATATAAAATAATTATAATATATATAATTGGTATGTCATCAAAAAAATTAAAAGAAAATGTTAAATGAAATTATTTAATTATCACGTTTTGTTTAACTTATAAAAGAATCAAAATTATGTAATTTTTAGAATTAAAAGATCAAAAAAGTGAAAAGAATAATTTAAAGATCAAAAAAATGCAAACTTATAAAGTTGAGGGATCAAATTTAGCATTTAACCTTTTCTTTTTCTTTTTCCAGCACGTGGAGGTGACGTGGAGGGTATCATTAAGTCCACATCAGCTGTTCCCGTTAAGTTAACGTGCCACCTGAGCAAAAATTAATGGAAGGACCAAAAAAAGGCCGGATTTGTGAACAGTAAGGACTAAAAAGGGGATTTTTTTAGTACAAGGACTAAAAAGGGGCTTTTTCCTATAGTAGAGGGACCAAAAAGGGTATTTAACCTAAAATTTATAATTAATTTAATATAATTAGCTATGTATTCTAAATATATATTAAAATATGTAATTGAAACACATAAATATAAAGGATAACGTAATATTATAATTAAAATGTTATTACATAGAATACTAATTAAAATACTATGCCCTAATCTCATACATGGATAACAAAAATTAGGAAATATGTTGCATAATATAGATAAGGTAAATATACTATGGTTCTTGAATAGAACGTAGTTTCTCACGTGCCTCATCCCAAGACTTTTTGGTAAATTTAAGATGCAAGCGACCATTACCTAATATCTTTGTAATAGTTTCAAAGGACTTAGCAGCTGTTTTGGATGAGTTTGACATGACTTCATATGGAAGGTAACGATTTGGGCAAGTTTTTGCAATATGACCCTCATTATTACACAGTTGACAAGTTACTACATATCGGTGCGGGCATATAACAGCTAAATGTCTAGGAATATCACATATTTGACAGACAATGTTGTCTTCTTTTTTAGGCAATGGAATGTGTTAGGGCATTGCTATATGATTCTTTGCTTTTGTCAACTTCTTCGTTGGATAATCCCATAATGATTCAAGAGTATCTTCAACAATTCCTATGTAAATTAACGTAAAATTAAGTAATATGTTAGTAAATGATATGCACCAACATGAATTAAAAACTAGTGGAGGGAAAAGGAAAAAGAAATTATACCTATCACGCCCCAGAACCCAAATCCGAGGCGCGACAAACGCCGTGCACTCGTGAGACGGGTCCCACAAGTGCACAAGGCTCGGATCTTATTCAAATCGCAAAATCTCAAGAATAAAATCAACCTTACAAAAGGATGATAAAATCTAAAACTTATATCCAATTAGAATGGCTAGCCTTCTACCTCATCACTTCCCTTGGTTTTCCCGCCCTCAGTTTCGCCTCCTGAAATGGTGAACAAGGAAAACTATGAGATAAAACTCAGTAAGTAAAATATGGAGTGCCCTTATTAAATTTATAGCATGCCAACAAGTGCAATTATGAAAAACGGATACAGTACGAGAACGAAATAGACGTCTCCTCTATAGGTCATGGCCAGTGTTATAAACCTCCCATTGGCTGGCACACTATTTGCTAGTGTTTAACCCCCACTAGCAGGGTCATTCGAACGAACTAGTTCTATCAATAACATGTCGACATGTGCTAGTGTTTAACCCCCACTAACAAGATCATCAATAGCATAACCACATCAGAGACAAAACAAGCAGAAGTTAACAGAAAAATCATAATTCACTAATCACTTTCAAATCATCAAGACAATCAATCAAATTTCAAGTAGGCATGCTCAATTTAATAAAAAGCATAAAAATTTCACTTCAAATCAATCATACTTGTGTAAAACGAGTTTAGTCCTGCCACCACTTCAAAAACAAATCAAAACATGTTTTTAAAAACTGTACGGGCATTACCATAAATTTACTTACCTCACTTCGCATAAAATCGAAGACTCGATCTCAGTGCTCGGGTGACAGAACACTCAAAACCTAATCACAATATTCCAAAGTTAATATCGTACTACCACAAATTCAAAATGAAATCATCATTAGGACTACCCCTAATCACGATACTATTTCTATCAGTCTCCACATGACCGGACATCTCCAAATTTGTTGTTATATTACAAACTAAACATTTAAATCCCCGTTAATTGTTGACCCTCGGTGTGTGAACAGTACTCGTGAACAGTGCCCGTGAACAGTAACTTCAACTTCCAAAATTGGCAAAACAGTAACCAATCTCACGAGATTTTTCTCCAAAATCACAACAACCCAATTCAAGCTAATTTATACTTAAACTAAGCTTAAAAACATAGCTTAAGCTACCAAAATTTTCCCATTTCTCACGGGCAGCACATGGAGAGCATGGCTTTGGCAAACCACAACTCACACACACGAGATTTTCTCTCCAAAACATCACAACAGCCTAATCAACAAATTTCCTACATAAACCAAGCACAAAAACACATTTAAAATGCTGCTAAATGCTACCGGAATTCCTCCCCCATTTTAGCAAAATTCGGGCAAGCACAGGGCAACACTTAATGGACAAAACCCAACAATTAAATGGGTAATTTCAGACTTAATGGGCGGCCACTTACCAGAATTCCAGCAAGCAAACCGGAGCTGGCAGGGAGAAGAAGCCGGCGGCATCTGCAGGGGAAACTCACGGAAACTACCCAAAATTCAAGAACCACAACCAAAAATTAGAGTAACCCAAGTTAAATCAAGGCTAAGGAAATGATTTCTTGGCTGTGGCTTACCCGAAAAATGCCCAGAAATTCAAACCCACATAGCAGCCGGCGAACAGGGGAGAAGAGCAGAGCAGAACCGGGATTTTCTGGGTTGAGAGGGAAGATTCTAAGCCCCAAATCTTGTGATTTAACAAGAAAAGAAGAGAAATTTCATCAAGATCTCACCGGGGTTTCAAGGGGGAGAGAGTCGGTGGCTTTGGGGGGCTTTCGGGAGGCAGAGCATCGGGGAGAAGATGAAGCTGAACACGTGTGGCTGAGGATGAAAAAGAGAAAATATCAACTGATCTTTATCCTAATTTCCTTTCTTTTTAGTCCCTGAACTTTGAAAATTTTTGCTATTACATTCATTAATTATATTTCTTCACAATTAGGTCCCTAACTCACACTTTAATGCTCTAAAAATTTTGGGGTATTACAATACCATCATATTGGCTGTCAAAGTATGGTTGACTGTCCATTTGGCTGTCAAAGTATGGTTGACTATCCATCTGGACCTCAAAGTTTGGTTGACTGTCCATTTGACTGTCAAAATCTGGTTGACTATCTGGAACACGGCTATCAAAGTAATCTTCATTGTCCATTTTGCTCTAAAAGTAATCTTGACTGTTCATTTATCACATAGTAATTGTATAATCAATTAATTAATTAAATTAATCATAGTTTACTTAGTAATTACTAATCATAAATTTTTTTTATTTCTTTCTAAACTAAATTTCTTAAAAAAATTAAGGAAAAAAATTGTACAACATAATTATAGTTTGGTTTGACTTACTTCTAATTCAAAAAAATAAAGGAGAAATTACTTATTTGAGTGGTATAGATGCATCAGAAATGAAAAATTTAGGTACCTTAACTAAGTGAAATTAAATTCAATCAATTAATTAGAACAGTAAGACTATACTAGTGGAAATGAAAATTATGATAGAATAACAAATAACACATTTAAATACATTAAAATCTTATGATTAAATATAAATTATATTTTCTAAAAATTAAAATATTAAATTTAACAAACCTTAACCCAAAATAACATAATAGAATAATATATTTAAACACAAGGTGGTGAAACATAATTGATAATAATCACTTGAACATTGTGTTTAAAATTAAATTACTTCCAAAATTTAATTACAAATAGATCCAATAAAAGAAAAATGAACAAGAAAAAAGAGGATGATTGTAGCCACTCATACCTTCTCTATATCAAAAATCTCAAAATCTATTAAATATTGGCCTCAACAAATGGAGCAACTCTTAATTAGCCATTAATTCTAGCCAAAACTCTGAAAATTTTAGAGAAGACAATATGAGTAGGAAAAAGTAGAGAACACCAGATGAGTAGAAAGAAGTAGAAATTTTATGAGAAAAGAAAACATATCTGCTTATAAAGACCAAAAACACTAACTATTGATGCAATAAAAGATTGGAGAATTTGATTTCAAATCTAGAAATCAGATTCTTCACGCAAATGCAATAAAAATTTCAATACCAATCAGAACTTTTGACCAAAACAGTAAAACCACATTTTTTCGGTCAATTTAGTTGTCCGAAAATAATTCTAAAGTTCATGCCTGCTGCTTCATCTCTGCTTCATGTCACCTTAGGCCAGATTTATGTCTGATTTTGTTTCCATCAAAATGATTGACCGAAATAACCTCATTATATCTCCCTCGCCAGGCCTCAGAAAAATGGGGTTATTTCGGTCAAAAACAATGATCGAAATAAGTTCAGTCATTTTTCTTGACCGAAATAACCCTGGGTTTTTCAATTCTCCTGCTCTCAAAACAGCTGGCTTTGATTGTTAGAGCTGGCTCCACAGCCAGTTTAGAATTTCTGCAGTCGACTTTGTGAGATTCTGACATTTTGTTTTTTGTGTAGAGCTAGCTGAAAAGGCAAACCCGGCTCTAGGTATTTTGGTTAGTCATTATGACCAAAATAACCCCTGGGTTTTTAGCTACCCTATTCTCAAAATAGCCAGCTTGATTATTAGAGCCGGCTCTTAGAATTTCTACAGCCAGCTTTGTGAGATTCTGCACATTCTGTTTTTTGTGTAGAGCCGACTTTGCTTTTTCAGCCGGCTCTAGGTATTTCGGTCATAATGATTAACCGAAATAACCCCCTGGGTTGTTTATTTCCCCTATTGTCAAAACAGCCGACTTTGATTGTTAGAGCCAGCTCCACAGCTGGTTTAGAATTTTTGCAACCAGCTTTTCGAGATTCTCCACATTTTGTGTTTTTCGTAAAGCCGGCTGCAAAACGCAAAGGCAATTTGTGAGCTTCCTGCACATTCTGTTTTTCTTTAACAGCCGGCTACAAATACAAAACTTAAAGCCGACTTTAATATTTCAATCATCCATTTTGATGGAAATAATAGATTAATATTTTACTAATATTGAATTATTTCATTCGTTGCAACCATTTTGACTGGCACACCTACTATATTTCTTACTTAATCATTTTTTTTTCTTTCTCTGTTTCTTTTCTCTTTTTTTTTTTAACCTAAAATTAGTAAATAATACAATAAAAAGTCTTTATTTATTAGCTACTTCAACATTTATATTATAACATCTAATTAAAATGTTGTAAAGTTTAGGCTCATAAATATAAAATTTTCACCTAATATTTCAGGGAACAATATCATGTCCTAATATATATAGTCATTAAAGTATTATATGTCATATCACATACATGTTAAAGATTAATTATCATACATATCCATACATATATAATAATAAAAGATGCTTTTAACACAAAGATCAACTTAATTATAAAAAAGAAAAACAGTTAATTAAACTCCCCCACTTGGCCCAGCCCCTCCTTCTTCCTGCATCATGAAAAACATCCTCTCCATTCTATCAACCTTCTCTTGCAGTGTCATGTGACTCTCTTGTAATTCTGTCATACTTTGTGTCAACTATACTACACGTTGAGAAGACTGAACAGAAGTATATGGTATAGTATGGGGAGGACATTTCCAATGTGAAACGCCTTACTCCTCAGGGTCCATATAATAAGGCATTCCATAAAGTCGCCCATCTTTTGAGGGTCCACCTGAAACTTGGAACAACAGTTGAGCATCAACTGTTGTTGGCCTGCTCAACTGTTGTTGGCCATGCAATTCTGTCTTCCCCATATTTTTGCACGGCCTCTGTAGTTAATCGTTCCTACAATAAATTATTTAACATACTTATTATATCATTTAATAAAGTATAAACAATTGAAACTACTCAACCATATACTTGCAACTATGATACTTAATATAATTATAAACAATATATTAAATAACTTAAATTAATGCAAATCATGATAATTAAATTTATAAAAAAATCCAGCAAAATTTCCCCTAAAAACTGTAGTCTCCCCTTGTAAACAAATATGAAAATACATTCAACTATATATATTTTTAACTATGATATTTAATAAGATTACATGAATAAATGAGATTCTCTTGGAATTTATACATCTCACTAAAATGGACTTTCAAAGCTCATACGACAAAACCATAAATGTCTGGCAATAAAACAATTCATAAAAAAAAAAAATTAACTTGCAATGACAGTATTTTGAGAAAATCACTACTATCAAGAAATCGGACCTAGCTACTCAAAGAGGTCTATTTTTTTTTTTTTTTCATTTACATGTGTTTTCAAATTCAATTCAAGATTAGCCCCACCAAAACAAACAATTTGAATTACTTTCTAAACATGAAGTACCCACTAGCTCGACACCTTTAACTTTTCTTTTTTATTTAATATATCTATACAATTTTGTTTAATTTCCCTATTTAATATTGATTAAAGATTCAATATAATTATAAATATCATCATAAATGGAACATGTCAATTTTCACAATTCATTATAAATTTATAAAAAAATCTGGCAGAATTTTCCCTAAAAACTATAGTTTCCCCCTGTAAACAAAATATGAAACTACGTTCAATCATATATATATATATATATATATATTTCCAATGATAATATGCAATAAAATTAAAATGCAATCTGATTTCACTTAATATAAATAATTCTTTAATATGAGTGACAATGAAATTAAATATCAATTAAAATAACCCCTTAAGAAACAATACAGACAAAGAAATAAAACTCACAGTGTACTCTTGGGCCTGCTCATCAATATATGTTGGCATTTAATATTTTCCTTTTGGATGCATTTTTTTTGCACTAATCACATCAACAAATGATGGATCCCTATGCTCAGGATCTTTTTCTTTCTGCAATATCATATATTCAATTACTGTGTTAATTGACACAAACATTACAATTAACATTAAGATTAATTATTATATAAATTATGATATGGAACCTAAATGATAAAGGTAACAATTTACCAATTTTTGCACATAGTCATTGTAGTCCATAGATTCACCTGTGTGGGTTACCCTGGGCCCTTTTGCTCTATTTAACTTTGCTTGCTCTCTACGAGTATTGAACTTCGGGTCCTCAGTCCATATATACTTAAACTTCTCCCAAATCTTGTCAGACATGTATGGCTTTTTTTCTGTAAAATTTTTCTTTCTACATGACTCCTGGATATCAGTCACCATTCTGTTATATCAATTCTCACAAACATTTAAAAATGCTGTATGTATAGCACCTCGCTCAGTTGGGTTCCACTCATACATATTCTGAAAAAAAATACATATATATAAGTTTAATATATTCATATGTAAATTGGTTTATAAAGAAAATGCACATATATAAATAAAAACCATGTCATTATAAATTACCAACCTGAAAAGCTTGCCAGTACACTTCCTTGTGCTCACGAGAAATTGAACCCCACCCTGTATATGCACCACACATATTAGACTTAAGGATTATTGAAATATCCTTTCGAACTTGTTTGTATTGAAATATCCTTTCGAACTTGTTTGGGTAATATCTTCCCATCCCAGATCCCAATGCTTAGCTTTTGGGAAGGATCCTCTGGCATTTTTTGGGCTTTGGCAATACCTCGCCCTTTTTTCGGTTGAGGAGGTAAGGGTGCACTAGAGTCGGTGCCACTGCCATGATAACATGTTTCCCCTTGGGTCTCCCACTGGGTCTCCCAGACAATGGTACTCGAAGACCCAATTCCTTGTGATTGATTTTTTCTCACCGGCCGTTTCAATGGACTTGTCACCCCTATAACCTCCAGGTATGCAATTCACTACAAAGAAAAAAATGTACAATAATACTACATTAGTATATGATTGGAAAAAATACATTATATTCAAACTAAAAAAACAATTTAATGAAAGATGAAATTTAAAGATAATATATATTAATAATTTAACATCACATTAAAGTTTCCTTTTATGTCAAGCTACTTATATATCACTTAATGTGTTATAAAATACCACATATATATACTAATAAATAATAACAAAATCTATTATGACACTAATTAATTAATTACTACTATCACTCTCAGAAATATATTCAATATTTTCTTCCTTAGATGTATAATAATCTTCAAATTCTTCTTCCTCCTCCCTATCGTCTTTGTCACGCCCCAGAACCCGAATTTGAGGCGCGACAGACGCCGTACACTCGTGAGACGGATCCCACAAGTGCACAAGGCTCGAAACTTATTCAATTCACATCCGATACCATCAAAATCTCAAGATCAAATTTTATAATTTTCTCTAATATCATAAATCTCCAATTAAAATCTCCAAATACAAGATCATGATTTATTTCTAAATCTATATCAATCCCGAAATGGCTAGCCTTCTAACTCGTCACTCCCCTCAGTTTCCCCCGTCCTCGGTTTCGCTTCCTGAAATGGTGGACAAGGAAAACTATGAGATAACTCAATAAGTAAATATGGATAGCCCTTGATAAAACTTTTAGCATGCCAGATAAACCATATAAGCATAACAGAACTTTCACTGATAAACCGTTAATGCGGAAATCAATTTCAGTTCAATTGCAAAACGTTTCACAACAAACCACAAATGCGGAAATCAAATTCAGTTCAATAGCAAAACGTTCAATGACAAAACCGTCAATGCAAAATCAGATTCAGTTCAGTAACAAAACGTTTCCTGACAAACCGTTAATGCAGAAGAAAACTCAGTTCAGTAGTCTCATCTATAAGTCATGGCCAGTGTTATAACAACCCACTGGCAGGCGACAAAAATTTACCAATGTGTCCGCCCATTGGCAGGCGACGAAATGTGCCAATGTATTTGCCCAGTGGCAGGCGTCAGAAATTACCAGTGTATAACCCCCACTAGCAGGATCATCAATAACATATCGACAAGTGCCGACATGTGCTAGCGTTTAACCCCCACTAGCAGGATCATCAATAACATATCGAC